TTCGCCAAATAATGAATATAACCTTTTCAACCCCTTTTTTGACATTTCGGAATAATATTTTGCTATTCGATAATTCAGACTCTCAATTTTTCAGTTCCTTCCGGTAGCATTTGTGCTGCTATCGCTGATTGGCCCAGTTGTTCATCGGCACCGGATGGACATTTCACCACCGTTCGACACGTTTGTGCCTCGATTTTCTGGTATATACCCAATGTCCGGTCATAGTAATTTCCGAATAACTACTTATGGTGTCCCGGTATTCAATGGCACTAACCCGGCTTACAGTGTCATAAAGCGCGAATCACCCGCAGAATTTGGATTTTTGATAAAAACAAGGTTAGTTTTTCCGGTGCTTTTTCCATGGGTTGATAAAAGCTTCAAATTACTTTCTATTATTTAACAAAAAATCAAATAGTCCCCGTATTAGAGATTGCGGCATTAAGAAGTGACTTGTCTGGTAGCAGATAACGACAGCAAGTGCCCGTTGGTAAGGCTGATGATGGCTGCTTTCGAAAGTAGCTTTAGAAAAAAGCTGACGGAAACAAAGAGCTAACAAGCTTTATAAGCGTGGTTATATCTGTATGTCAGTTATGCTTGTTATAGCACCTAATATATATACATATATACGTTATATATATTATGTATGTATGTTACATGCACGCACGTGTTTGTGCCTGTGTGTTTGTTTATTTGTGTGTGCATATATGCACGTGTATGTTTTTATGTGTATGTTTTGTATTTTTGGCATGGTTGTAATAAATTCAGCTTGCAAATTCAGGGACTAGAAAAGTGAAATTTCGAAATTTCAAGCAATGCTCATAAAAACATAAGACGAAAAAAATTTCTGGTTTCTCTATGTTCAAAAATTTGCGTTGAGCAAGCGATTCTTTTGCCTATCAAAGCGAGTAACAAGACAAAGTTTAAGGTTTTCGGTGGACGCAGTGTAGGAAGACATAAAAAACTTCTTTTCATAACGAAGTTTTACGAGACACATTAGGAGACTGCCAAAATTTAAATTTATTTCTTTCAAACTGATGCGTTACAAGCTTTCAGGAGTCATAATTCGGTCCTGTACGAGAAAACAGTGAATGTTTTCGGTAACCTGAGTGGCACGGTGAAATCGATTGCTGTTGACTACGAACATATGAATTTGACTGTAATAATTTTGTTTTGAAATGACTTATGCAAAACAAAGATGAGAAATCGAGAACCATAG